AGGAATTTCGCTTATAGCTAATCAAAAATCTGCATTTCTTAAAATTTGCTTGCAAAACCAGGAAATATTCACCTGATATCCTATTTATTCGTAATTAGAATAAACTTCTATGTCGATATAGCCATGTATATATAGCTCCTCGCAATATTGAAGACAGATCTTTGAAATTCTGAACAATGCTAATATTCCTAGGGTGGTATTGAAAATTGGATATATGTGTCCTTTTTAGGGTAGCCCCAACCGAATTAGCTATGATTTCATATATTGGATTTTCATTGGAAACAAGTAAAAAAGTGTCAGTCGATGTTGCCGACAAATATATACCCCCAGCCTATGGTTTGTGGAGGTCTTCGGAATTACACACAGATTTTATTATAAGCTTTATATAAGAAATATGCTTTTATCAAAGAGGTTTCAGATTTAATGTTGATAAAATTGTACAAACTACTGGGTTCAATCTTCGGAATTCATATAGGGTTGGTAGAGATAATATACCAATGCAATAATATTTCGCCTGATATTGCATTTATAAATGTTAAAAACTTGGACCATTCGTGGGGCAGGTACCAGAAGGAGTGGACCAATGGGTCCCATCTTCTTACTTGAACTAGGCTTCATGAAGATAATAAGTTATACGAAGTTTCGTTAAAATAGGATAGTCCGGTTGCGTGTTATTACAAAATTAATTTTTAGCACAATTTGACCATTTTGTGGGTGAGGTACCAGGAGGAGTATTCCAATGGGTACCATTTTTAAACTTGATCTAGGCTTAGTAGGGGTAATAGGTTGTACAAAGTTTGTTTCAGATCGGACATTCCATTAGCCTGATATTAGATTTAAAAATATTGACAATTTTGACCCTCTGTGGGGGAGGTACAAGAAGGAGTGGACCAATGGGTTCCATCTTCATACTTAATCTAATAGGTTGTACAAAGTTTTCTTTAAAATCGGATGGTCCGTTTGCATGTTATTATGAAATTAAGGAGTGGACCGATATTCACCATATTCGAACTTAAACTATGTTTGAAAGAAATATTAAATGCAAAGTTTAGGTGAATTCGATTATTCCCTTCGAGAGTTATCGTGCGCACCAGCCATCCAGACAGACGGACATGCGTAAATCGACTCAAAATTTTCTGAAACGGAAAGCGGTACCTCAATTATTCGGTGGTTTGGTGACTTTAGGCACATTATTCAACCAAGTGGTTTCAATTTGATTTTTGGGATTCTCATTAGACAGGAAGTCTCCATAGTCCCAATTTAGATTAGGCGAGTTTACTTGCGACAAGCCTTTGTTTGTAGGAGAGAAACCGAATTGCCTTGTATAGACGCATGAAGCAAGTTCAAAAGAGAACGATAAGAATTGCCGCAAGTAAACTCTAATCTAAATCAGGAGATACCAAGAATTATCAATATTGGGCTGTTTCGGGGTAGCCTCCAGAGAGCGGTAGGGGACGTTTTTAATAGAATTGAATTGATTTCAATATAACATTGCGCGTACAGGGTGGTGTTTAACATGGTGTTTATAACAAGTTCGGCGGGGTCGGGTTTTTTTACTTGTTTACAGATATACTGACACTTCTTTAACATTAAACATAAAGCTCATAGCGTGAAACATAACAAAAATTCTATGTAGAATCGAAAAACTCAATTTTTTGGTATAAAGCCAAATAGACGGAAAATTTTGAAAATATCAAGAAAAAATAAAAAATGCTAAAAAAGATGCTAGGTGCTAGATCTTTTTTTTTTGGTGCTAAACGAGTTTAAAAAGTGCTAAATCTAGCACTAAAAGTGCTAAATTGGCAACACTGCTGCCAACAGACAAAAGACGACTCTGTGTAAAATTTTGGCGATTTATCTCAATTCTTTTAGAGGCTTGAGTGATTACAACAGAGGGACAGACAGACATGGCAAAATCGTCATAGAATTTTATGTTGATCAGAATATATAGGGTCGGAAATGAAAAACGTATATATTACCGACCGATCTGACGTTTCCAACGTTTCTTCGATTCTGATGAAATTTTTTAAACCGTAACCGTAGTGGAATGACGTTTATCGGTTTTTTTTTAAATCGGCTGATTGAGACTCAATGGGGTGAGGGGTATTATTTGCATACTTTCCTCAATTTTGTTTAATTATACCCTTCACCACACTGTGGTACAAGGTATTATGTCTTTGTGCATATGTTTGTAACAGGCAAAAATAATCGAGATAGACCCATGGTTCTTTTTGGGAATATGCATAGAATCACTTTATAAGTCGATTTATGCATATCCGTCCGTCCTTCTGTCCGTCCATGTTAAATTGTAAACAAAGTACAGGTCGAATTCATGATCCGATGAAATTTGGCACAGGTCACTTATTTGGCCCAAGGACGAACCCTATTGTAATTCAAAAAAAATCGGTTCAGATTTAGATATAGCTCCCATATGTATTTTCATCCAATTTAAGGTAAATGGTGTACCAAAGTTTTTCGATTTGCACAAAATTTGGCATAGCGTACTGATTTAAGTCTAAAATGATGTGTGCAAAGTTTCGTGAAAATCGGTTCAGATTTAGATATAGCTCCCATTTATATATTCGTCCCATTTTAGGTAAATTGTGTTCCAAAGTCTCTACATATCTTTCGATTTGCACGAAATTTGGCATAGCGTACTGAATTAAGTCTAGAATGATGTTGCTAAGCTTCGTGAAAAGATCCATAGCTAGGCCGAATGACACAACGTACTGAAGTAATATAAATTAGTCTCTGGCAAGTCTCCCTGAAATAGGTTCAGATATAGATGTATAACAAAAACGCGGCGTCTGTTAGGATACATATGTAGAATATGCCCAAAGTGGTGAAGGGTATCATATAGTCGGCCCAGTCCGACTTTACTTCTTTACTTACTGGTTTTTAATTGGATGTAAATTTGGTATCTTCCTACAAAATATTATGATTATTGGTGCACTTTTTAGAGTAAGTATTAATTTTTAATATCTAGCAATTAAATTTCTGTACGTTTTGTCAATCGGCCTAAGTATGGACCTTTAGTGTACCATTTACTTAAAATGTGACGAAAATATATATAGAAGGTATATGTAAATCAATTTCAAGAAAACTTGACACACGAATGAACCTAATTCAGTACCCTATGCCAAATTTCATGCAAATCGAAAGATATATAGGCACTTTGCCTCAGATCGGGCGAAAAATATATAAATCTGTACCGATTTTCTCGAAACTTGGCACACATTATTCTGGACCCAATTTAGTACTCTATGCCAGATCGAAAGATATATAGGGTCTCTGGTGCACCATTTACCTTAAATCGGACGAACCTATATATGGGAGCTATATCTAAATCTGAACCGATTTTCTCGAAACTTGGCACACATCATTCTGGACCTAATTCAGTACTCTATGCCAAATTTCGTACAAATCGAATGATATATATAGGGACTGTGGTACACCATTTACCTTAAATCGAACGAAAATATATATGGGATCTATATGTAAATCTGAATCGATTTTTCCCAATTTCAATAGGGTTCGTCCCAGATGATGTTTAAATCTTTCCGTGACCGATATAGCCCGTTTTTGATAATGTCATTGAAATCAAGGTTCTATATATTTAATGATATATAATTTAATCATTAAGGATATATAAACTGTACAATAAATCAACAATTCAGTTTTTTCATCAGAAACATCAAAAATTCGTGGATTAGTATCAATATTAATGCTCTAAATTTTCATTAAAAAAAATAAATATTTCAAAATGTTGTGTTGTAGTTTCATCTTTATTTCCATCAAAATCACTTCAATACAATTTACAATAGTGGTCTTAGAACTAGGCGAATACAATTTAAAAAAAAATAATCTATTTAAATACAATAAATATACAATTCTTTGAACAAACATGACTAGCTTTTAGTTTACCTGATTGATTCTGTAACAAAAATTCGTATTGTATCAACATTGTTTTACTTTTTTTCATATTATCTTAAATAACTATAAAAATATTTTATAAAATAAAAATATATCAGTTTCTTAGTAGATTTTTATATAAATATATAGTAAATATATAGACTTAATAATAATTCACAAAAAATATATTTAAGGTACTTTTTGGTCTGTAAGTGAACAACCTTGTTTTGTTTGGTGTAAATAAAACAGAGAAACTATTATTGAGATCCATATAAGTTTATAAAAAAAATTTAAAAAATGTATTGAAAATAATGTTTAAATTTGAAGTGGGCAAACATTATTTTCAAAATTTTTTTGTTTAAAATTATGATTTAAAATGATGTCACTAATTTAAAATATTATATTTAAAATTGTTTATAAATTAGAGAGATCATTTTTTGGAAATGTTCACAGCAACTCCTGTAAATGATTTGATATATAAATATATATTCAAATCAAAAAGAGAGTTGAATTAAATATTCTTGCTAATGAAAAATAGATTGGTTGCATATATATTTAAAAAAATCTTTTCTTTTCCGAATATATGCAACCGAGCCATTTTTAAATAAAAATTAATTGAACGAATTGTTTGATATCAGAATAAACGTTAAAATCTCATAAAATTAGTTTTTCTTTAAGAGGAATTTGAGATTACAAAAATAAATTTAATACAAAATATAAAATTCTTTAACTTCAAAATTCCAAGAAAAGAATTATTTTTCTATTGAAAAATAGTTTTCTTTTTGGACTTGAAACTATTCACGAATTTTATAAATTTTCGAAAAAAAATATTTTTTTAATTTGGATTCAAATTCCCCTCAAAATTCCGATATGAAGCAATCCGTAAAATATCTACAAACTCATTTGTACTTAACCTATCTTAAATGCTATATATCACGCCTATTTTTTCGGATGGTTTATAAAACCTGCTCTTTTTTCGAACTTCACAATTGCAAAATCATTTCGTTTAAAGGGCTAACAATTATCCCCATTTGAAGTCTTCTTGTGGGAGTTGTATTTCATTGTCCTTGCTATTACAACTTACCCAACTATGCCGTTGGAAATGCGGCATAACCCTTAGGTGGTCCCGAATTTATTACCTGTTCGCTGAAATCTTTCCATGGTGGCGTCTGATTGAAATAACTACTCGTTTGATGGAAATTCGTTGATTGCGGGGGATATGTTGCAGCTGTTGGACTTGCATTGATATGCTGTGAGTGGGCTGTGTCATAACCCGCATATCCTGTACAATTAATGTTGGATGCTGTAGCTGGAGGTGAGGGTGTTGCTTTATTCGTATTCAACTGAGCAGCTGCCTCAAAAGTATCCTTGAACAGATCATATTTTTGCTGGCAAAAATTGGGATCGGGTTTATGATCCGTTTGCGCATGCGCCTGATGCTGCTGTTGGGTATAGTGACGCATACTGCTCAAGAACTCGTGAGATGTAAAACCAGGTGCCGCCTGAGGAACTTCATTTGTACATGGTGGTGGTGGTGCTTGTGCCGGTACATGTTGCGGATTGTGATAATTTGCCGTTGGATATCCTGGCGGCGGTGGCCCCGCATTAAATCCCATTTGCTGATGCATGGGGTGCTGGGGCACACGACCATAACCCATAAAACCGGAACCCAGCATACCCCAAATACCCGGCTGGGGATTCACAAAGAGAGCATCAAATAGCTCCTTGTTGATGCGCTCTCCACTCAGAGTGAAATTCTGCAATTTCTCCAAGTCCAAATTGAGGGTGCCACCACTCTCAAGCACCTGCACCAGCGAGAAAATATAATTATAGGCAAAACGGAGAATTTCGATTTTTGTCAATTTCGTTTCTTCCGGCAGCTGTGGCAAGGTGACCCGTAAACGTTCCAGGGCATCGTTCAGCATATGCATGCGATTCCGTTCCCTATCATTGGCCTTGACACGACGGAACTTTTTTATGCGCATTATTTGGCTGGGACTGCGCGAACGTGTCATGCGATTCTGGCCGACGGCATATTTACGTTTCGGCCGTGGTTCAGTTGGTTTCTCATCACTGCTTTCACCGCTGCTGGCCCGTTTGGTGGGTGTTGATGTTTGCACGCCGAGCTGTGGTGAAAATTCCAAATCCTCGGGAGGGGCTTTACTGATGATGTGTTCGACGAGAGTTTTACCGCTACGTGTACTGTGATTACTGTTGCTATCGAAAAGGCCCGACATGCCCATGGGGAAATTCATGGGCATTGTTGGCATATAGCCACTACCGGATATATTCAAGGGCAATGTTGTATTCGCCGTTCCATTATAATCCGTTACATTGTCGAAATTAAGTTTACGCCGCTTACAATTCAACTCTGTTTCGAAACTTTTTTCATAACCACTGTCAAAGGAGGAATTATCGTCCTCTTCGAAATCGAACGAACGATCTTCGTAACCACTATAACACGACATTTTGTTAAGATTTTCTTTTTTCTTTCACTTTCTTAAGTCGTATAACGGTTTTTTCGTTTTTTTTCTTCCTTTTACGATTTTTTGATATTTATTTTCTGTTTATATTCCAATTCTGTTACTCCCGTTTTTGTTGTTGTTGTGACATTTTTTCGTGTGTGATGTTGTTATTCAGCTTGTTCTTGCTGTTGTTGCCCGTAACACTCGTTTGTACCAACTAAACGTAGATTACTCGCTGTCGTTAGATTTTATAGCGACCTTGCCTTGCGTAAATCACTTGACCAACCCCCAAAATATTGGTAGTGGTCGTGACGAGGGCGCCATTTCAAATCCTCTCGCCCTTATATGCCGATTGTTGTTCGTGTTCTCATTTAAGGGTTGAGCGTTTACTCAACTGGAACTATAATCTCTGCACTCATCCACTGGCGACGAACCAATCGGAAGCAATGCTCTATGCCGGGTGAAAACGATCAAAGCGTTTTATTTCTTCCCTTCCAATTAGACGAGACTGGTATTAGAACACTCTCGCGGAGAGCTTTAGCAATGTCGCCCTGAGGCTTATAATTATTATCATCGTCATCATCAACAACGTCACAATCATTGCTGGTGTACTTTTTATTAACTCCCTTATCTCGCAATGCAGAGAAGAATGGTGGGTGATTATTTTTTGTTGGTCGCTTTCCTGCTAGCCATGTCAAGTTTAGTGATTTCCTTATTTGTTTTTGTTTTCATTTTTTTCTGGTATATGGCTCTGGCCTTTTAGCTCGTTCATCATACGGACTTATTGTTCAAAAAGTCCGCTAAGCTTGCTGAACATCCTCTTATCAAGCATCCATCCCCTTACACTTTTACATCTACATGAACTTCTATTTTTTGTTCTTGTCTGACAAGAGCCTGCTATCATTTAACCACAAAATTGCATCTTTATTTTTTTATTGTTATCCTGAATTGGCCTGGCCCGCTTACACAATGGCCTTCTGTTGCGCTTCTTGGGGGCAATATGTCGTTGGGCTAATATATCTGTATGTATGTCTGTATACCGCAAACATTTGTTAACATTTAACACAAAAGAATTGATTTCATTCGGCCAGAACCTGTTGAAAGTTGTGCGGAACAGGACAAGAACACAAAAATTCGAACATTTGTTTAAACTTTACTGCCAACCTGTATGTGTTTACATTAAATTGCAATTTACCAGAAGTGCAGTGAAGTGTATCATCATTATGTGGACATTCAAACAATGTAATTATTTTGGGGCAGATAGGAATTTAAAGAAAAATTAATCAGGACCGCAAAATATCTGTAGACGCCTCTGCGTGTAAGACTGACAGGTATTTTGTCAGATTTTTCAACCGAAGAGATTTAATTTGGCATTCCATATTTCTGGAGGGTATGAAACATCTTCGCTGATTTATTTTTGTTTAGACATAACCCCCATATAAAGGATTCACTCCATTTTATATTCTCTATTTTTTCTTCTTATATCGACTTGCTGAATCGACCTGTGTAAATAAAGTACAAGTAATATTTATGGACCAATACACGTTAATTTTTATATGAACTATAGCACTTTATTTAACATGCTTCGGAATGTCCGATTTGGACCAAATATGCCCCGTTTTGTTGTATGATTTGTTGCCATTTTAAAGGGTAACGCTTTATTTGCAAACAATTCTAGATACGAATTTTTATCATTAAAAAAATTTGCAATTAAAGAAAATATAAAAGATGATAGTGCCAAGTCCAGACTGTATGGCGTATGCATTTAAACTTCCCAACCAAGCTCCCGAAGTTTCTGGCGAGTCACTGCAGATGTGAGTTGTTCTAGTGGAAAACGACACCTCTCCTGTTGGCCAATTCTGGCTGTTTCTGGCCAATTGCTATCTTCAAACGGTACAGTTATCAACAGCAGTGATCAGAATTTAACGTTTGGCCATATGGAAGGAACTCATAATAAATAACGCATAGCAGAACATTCTTGACCGTTAGTCCTGGTTTCTAGCTCCTAGGCGATGTTAATATTTAGGGAATCAAGGGGACCAAAAACTGTATTTTTGTCTGGCTGCTATAGAGTTCACAATAATGAGTTGAACCTCACGAAATGTCACACTAAGAAGGTCATCTGGCCAAGGAAAAAGCAATTTTGGTGATAATATCCTATGGTGATAATTTTTTGCGAGTAGAGTATATATTAAATTGGTCATTCCGTTAGTAATACCATGAAATATTCACCGAGAATCGTGAAGAATATATATATATATATATAGATTTGTGTAGCTCCAAGAGTTTCTAATGCCGCGAAATATTGATCCTAGACCCACCTGCAAGTATACCGGTCATATCTCGACTAGCTGAGTCGATCTAGGCATGTGTGTCCGTCCGTTCGTTCGTCTGTCCATTATAATTTGTAAACACGATACAGGCAACAGTTTTGGACCAATCTTCACGAAAGTTTGTGTTTGTTAAATATCGGTTAATATTTAGAGGATGAAATGGACCAAAAACTGTATTTTTGTCTGATTTTCTGGTTCGCATGGTCCACATTACATGGCGAATGGGATCGGGCCAAAGAATAAGCATGCTTGTTTTCATAAAGATCGGTCAATATTTAGCGATTCAAATGGACCCGGACTTTTGTGTGAAAAATTACATAATTTGTATTCTATGGCGTATATATTTACCCCTGAGAGATATAGACCCGAGAAGTTGATAGTATATTCAAGAGGGCTATTTGACCTTTAAATTGATACCAATTATGTTGTCTTATGTACTCGAATGGAGTTCCACGTAAATATTTACAGGTGCTTACGTATTCATATGTTATTAAGTAACCCATTTCCAAACTAGAGGACGGATAAATAGCGCTGATCGCTTTGAAATTTTCTATGAGGGTCCAAGTATGGTCAAGGACATCGTCTATAATTTTCGGTGATGATCAGATAATAATATTGGGATGAATTCGACCGAAAACTTTTTTGTGTTGTTTCGAGTCGATTTATAGCCACAATTGAAAGCCAAACATTGAATATTAGTGCAAATATCGAGAAAAATTGCCCAAGCTAAGAATACAGAACCACATAAATAAATATATATATATATATATATACTAAAAAATCCTATAATGTTCGTTTTTCTAACATGTTATTTAGGTTCCTCCTTGGGTGGAAAATTTTTATACCAAATGTTATAAATATCGGTATTTTTGGGCATACCCACCTTATAAGATTCAAGTACTTTTAAAGACCTTGGTGTATTTTCTAACCGAAGAGGATCAACACTTTCTTTTTGCATGCTCAAGGTACTATTCCCGTTAACTAAACTGAGTGTCAGAATTTGTTTTTTTTTATGCCAGAAATTTACCGTGGCATAGTCACCCTATATAAAAGCCCCTATCGATTTTAGTTATTTTGAATGTCAACCTAATGGTTGAGGGGATAAAAAGTTCAGCCTGGACCACACTGAGGACTTTTGATGCTCTCAGCTCATCGAAATATTGTTTTTAGGTTCAATGGTCTGTTGGTGAGAACGATGACTCTCGAAGGGAATAACCGATTTCATGCTCACTTAACATTTCTTCCAAACTTAGTTCAAACTTTAGTACATTTACATGTTATTTACATTATACTCGATTTCATACATGTAGTTTTAATTTGAAGTTCTTCATCATCGAATTCGATCTCAATTTTGAACATATATTACTGTCAAAAGTTTAAACAAAATGCATCAGACAATCAGGAAATGGATCGAATAACCATATTCAGACCACATCCAAAATTTAGATATAGTCTGAAAATACATGAGGTTTAAAGTGGTTACACCCTCTGTAGTTGTGAAGCTAGAAACTATTTTTTTTTTTTTTTTTTTTTTGATGATATAGAATTTTTATAATACATTTCATAATAATACATAAGAAACCAAAAACTTTTCCTTTCTAAAAACAACATCTTCAAAAATATTTTTCTATTTGCAAAAAATTCCCAGGGGTTATAGTTTTTTAGACTTTGTCATAAAGTAAACTTCTTAATATCAATTTAAAAATATAAACACCTAATACACTTAACAAAAACTATATATCTGTTAAAAAAAAAAAAAAAACAAAAAACTTCTTTATTGGACACACGTGACACATAACCACTTTTATTATCCTCCTCCTTCCTAAATCGTTTAACAACATAATTTGTGGTCAAAGAACCCACTACTAACCAACTGTTCGAATAATTTGCTATTGCTACTCGCAACTGGTTATGAATAATCAAAATACCAAATTCAAGTGTGGGCACACGAAAGGACTTCTGAATATCTACGATATGTTATGAAAAGTGTTAACACGCTTAGCTATCACTTACCGCCAGGGAGTGACAACACAAGAGCATTGCGCCATGCACGTGACTCTCAACCAAGTGATAGTGTGGGGGGTGGTTGGTCGGTCGCTTTGGCTTTTGTTTAACCGCTAATTTTTTCTCCGACGTGTGCCGGTGTTTAGCCTAGTAAAACACTTCCGAACGGTATCATCAAGACAATAACATTTGAAGTGGCAACCGCCGACTACTGCAGTTATGCCTTTTGATCGTGTAATTAAGTTATTATGATATGTTTGAATAATTTTCCAGTTGGCGCCTTGCGGATGACACGTGTGATAATTGTGTTTGTTGTCACATCTGTTGTCGCTTCCCACTTCATAATTGTCGAACAATCATAATTGAGTGAGAAATCTCTCTGTGACACATATCTATCAAATTCGAATTCTTTACTTTTTTTACAGGGTTTGTTATTCTTACTTTTTTATTGAAGTCTGCATTTTGAAAGTACAAGTATCAAGGATCAATGAAAATAACCTCTCTCAAGAGCATTTTAATTGTCACGGAAAATAAGTTCATTTTTTTAAATATGAAAACCCAAAGAAAAAATCTGTTATGTTGTGTGAGAAACTAATTTTATGGGGAAATGTATTCGATAAAAATATTATTGTGGGAAAATTATTTCTGTTAATTTAGAATATTTTT